AACTTTGAAGAGCAATATTAAATATATACAAATCTGATGTTATCTCAAATTTGATAAAAATGTCAGTTATGCTGTTATGCCTTTCTTCCACAGAATTATCAATATAAGTTAGTCTCAAAGATGGGACATCACTTTGGACACTAAGAGGGGGAAACCATTATAGATTCTCCTTAAATGCATCTATCTTAACTGTAAGAGTGGATGTGCGCTTCCGAGGAGGGATTTTAATTATTGTAGGGTTCCACGCGGTACACTATTAACACATCTTCTCCATCTCATCGACGTGCCTCCAGTTTCCTCCAGACTTCAAACTACTACCATCAATTGACAAAGTGTCTTCTTCAGGGAGATTGAATAAAACAAGATTGTTCTTTCTATCAATTAGATCAAAAAGTTCGTTAATGCAAACATTAGTTACTGCATTAGAATCAACTTTTGTGGAACAGATTGTCTCAGATTTATCAAGTCTGACTTCGACAATAGTAAGACGCTCAGTCAAATCAACAACTCTAGATTTCATATTAGTAAGCCTAGACATCGTATCATTAACTTTGTTGTTAATGTCTGACATGATAGAGAAGTTTTCAGAAAGCTTTTAAACTTTCCAATACTTGGTATTGGATGCACCCCCTCTGGCCACAATCGAGGACTGGTAAGAGTACAAATGCATCCTATTCATTCTTCTATTGACTCTCTCTCTCTCTCTCTCTTTATATGCACACATTTTACCTCACTTGACAGCTTGGTTGCCTTCTACCTATCACAGTAACTTATCTTGGCCTACATTGAATAAACTCCCACTAGCTGACCCTGATTTTCTCATATCAGGTCCAATTGATCTTATAATAGGAGCAGACTATTATTCTCAAGTGATCAAACCACAAGTACTCAGGCATGGTCATGGTAATAATTGCTCAACAAACGATATTTGGCTGGGTAGTCTTAGGACCAATACTAGCCAATTATAATTCGTCCTTTTTAATCATGACAACAACTGATGATGACATCCAAAATCTCCTTGCAAAATTCTTGGAAATGGAAGAAACCTCGTACACATATCATCCACTGATCCTTCTAAATTCATTGACCTCATCCAAAGTATCCACCTCAGAACACTCTTTTGACTCTGACAATATAAAAGTCCTCGGTCTAAATTGGTCACCCACCTCTGATTCATTCACCTTTGTGCTAAACTTTCCAGACCATTCTCAAATCACTAAAAGAATCATGTTCTCTATCATCGCTCAAATATTTGATCCATTAGGATTCATTTCTCCAATAATAATAAAGGCAAAATTATTGTTACTATCGCTCTGGTTTGAAAAACTAGACTGGGACGACCCACTTTCTCCTCAACTGACTCAAAAATGGAAACAATTCCAACGAAACCTAAACAATTTATCTCAACTAACTATTCCCCGTTGTATTGGTCTCTCTATTCCGTTGACAAATAGTCAAATCCATGGATTCTCAAATGCGTCCTAATTAGCATTATCTGCTGCAATTTATCTACGTATTACATCTAATTTTAAAACTTCAGTACATTTTCTATGTTCCAAGACGAAAGTTGCACCCCTTAAACCTTGCACTATTCCTAGGTTGGAATAAGCAGCGAATGCACTCTTAGTCCGTCTTACTTCCAAAGTTCTTAAATCACTTCAGCTTCCCCATCAGGATATCTTCCTTTGGACTGACACTAATTTTGCCCTTTCATGGATACAAGATCATGCCTCTCGATGGAAGGATTTCGCCAGAAACCGAGTGCACTTCATTCAGGAATCCTTACCTACAGCAAAATGAACTAGCCAAGGTTGGGGCTAGAGGACAACTTGTTGGGCCTGTGTCTCCAATTGGTGTTTCTGATGAATGCTCGGCCCTGGAATTTAAACAGTGGCTGACAGCAGAACACCAAAAGGAATATTTTTCATGGGTTAAGTTGTACAATCATCTGACGACTCCATCTCGTAGGTGGAAGATTATCCTCCTTGATCAGTACATCTCCGATTTTCACAGAACTTGTTTTATGCAACCATTTTACGTGTTATTAAAGGTGAAGAAGGTATTCTTAAGACCAGCGGCTCCAAAACAAAGTTGCCGGCGTTTTCACTACATATTTTTTATACACACACCTTTGCAAGAAATAAATCTTTTGAAGGCAGCAAAGAAACTTCTTGTCTTGTAATCGGAAATCAATTCCAGGTTCATTAATCTAAAATGTAAACAAACAAACCAGCAAACATATGATGCTTTATTGGACTTAATGCCTCTACCTTTAGATGATAAGACCTAGGAGGGCCCAGCAAAAATCAACGCCAGTAAAGGAGAATGGTTTCAAAATGATAATACTTTTATTAGACTTGTATTTTATTTATAGTGAACAGACAATGGAATTGGTACGCTCCGATTTCAAAAACACTTAGCAAAAATATAACGTTTCGATTAAACCATCCTAATCATCCGTAGAGATTAAAACGTACTCTTTGTGAATATAACAGTTTTCATTCTTTCGAAAGTGGAAGACTACTCTTTCCCTTTAAAATCCATTACGAAAATTTAAAAAAATCTTCATTTATCTCTGAGTAATCGTTCATTCAATTTTCTATGAATTTGGCGAATTCTTCAAAAACTGAGTGAGAAATGACAAAACTTTGATAATAAAAAAGAAGATAACTATAAACTGAAGACGAATTCGATGTCAGATTTCTAAAATTCAAAATGGCGGATCGAATATGGCGGACGATTTTTGAAATCTGACATTGAATTCGTATTCAGTTATACCGAAAATCCGCAAAACTATTTCAAAATGGATTTTTAAGGGGAAGAGTAGCGCTTTTAGATGCAATATTGACCTTTTGGAGAAAAAATTATCTTTTGATGTTACATGACGTCCAACATATTACTTTCAAAATTTTTCATTTTACAAAATCTTTCCGGTTATTATAATTTAGAAGATACATATTCATTCGATGTTGTAAGATTTTGTAAAAAGTGTTTGTGTTCAGAGAAAAATTTGTTGGAAAATGTTTGTTTACCTATTTCATGTCAGCGCAGTTCTAATGGTCGATAATTGGAGATCTCACGTAACCTAGAAGTTTTAGATATCTTCCTACACTTTTAAAACAATTTTTTGTAAAATGAGAATAACTTGTGTAAGCATTAACCTGTCATTTTAAAAGAAAATTCAATCCTTTATATTTTTGAGGTTATAAATATGTCCAAACTTTTCAGTCTTTGATTAACTATAATAATAATAATAACTAACTAATAATTAACTAATTTACAAAAGATATAATCAAAGATTCCATATTACACAACACTGAAATATTTTTTACGAAATTGGCCATTTTAGATAAATTCGGACTCCTGAATTTTTTCAATTGCATTGAAACGTGTTGTCATAGTCAGCGCATGCGTTCACGTTAAACTTCGACAATACTTGATAGTAGTGACAACAATCAGAAAGTTAGGACATTATATCCTCAGGTAAGATTTAGATTGTACCCAGTAACATAATGATGGTACAATCTTTTTTAACCATCATAATCTTTATACTATCTATAATCTTTATACTATCTATTTCTCTCAGTGAAGTAAACGAGAAGCACACAAACAAAACGTAAACAAGCGAGTGCTAGAAAAAACATCACCAGAGGGCAGCACCCAACTAGTACATAAAAATCTCTAACTTTATTTCCTATTATTGTTTATGTTAAAAATTCATTAATTTTTTTAACACAAGTTTAAGAAAAAAATTTTTTATTTCCGGCTAATTCTTTTCAAGTTACGATCAAGGTTTCAATTACGATAAAAATTCGTTTCAAATAAAGTAAATAAAGTATAACTTCTGACAGCCATTTTTAAATGCCTTTTCTTGATCCAACACCCTAAAGAGGTAAAATTGTTTGAAGGGGAAATTTGAGAAAAGAAATTCAGTTTATAAATCTAAAATCATGAAAACTTTTCTGTCATTCAAATGACAATACGGAAAGTATAAGAAACCCTATCATACATCATGCCTAACCTCTGTAATGAATATTTTGTTAACCAATGCACAAGGGATAGAAAATGATCTTTTTCTATATTTCCCTATAAACCTACGTTAATATATTCCCAGAGATAATATTTTTATTAGTTTCTCTCTGGAATTTCCACAAAATAAATATACTTACATTATTATTAAAACAATTCGTAATTAATTAATAACTTTTTAGAATTATACTGTTAAAAATTATTGTAATTTTTGAAATATTTGATTCATATATACAAGTATCATATATAATTTCGAAACTTGCAAATTTTTTAATCACATGAGTATTATGTATAATATAATTTTAAATTTAATGTGCTATGGATTCAATAGCATTTTTTTCTCAGCGTCAGTGTCAGTCACAGCCCATGAGTGAGAGTAAGGCGGACTTATGCGGAACGCATGTTTCCCTATGACTGACATGAAGCTTTTCTTTATATACATATTTCTTTTAATATCATCCATAAAAACTTTTTATTTAAAAATATATTTTATTCCGAAAGAATAGTCAATTTAAATATTCTCATATTTGTGAATACTCTTTTCGTTAATTCAGCTATTTTTTACTAAATTCAGCTGCAAATATTCATTTCAACTAAGGTGATTTTTATTTTTATTATAGTATCATTTTCCGTTGTAATTTCGATATTTATTTTCAATTTACTTACTATGAAAAGTGTTTTAATTTTTTTTATTTTTTAATTATAAATTAAAATCAGCAAATAAAACCCTTTTTAACATATAATAGTTTTATCATATTAACTTTCTTTCAGATTATTTATTCGTTTAATTTTTTATTTCTTTGATTTATTATTACATCTTGATTTAAAATTAATTTTTTTAACAGCTATTTTCTTTTATTTATTTTCAAATATTGAAAATCACTTAATAAAATTTTTTTTAAAATAAAAAGACTATTTTAAATTGTTATTCGAATATGAAGAATAAAGTTATCAATAACCATATCACTCACCTATGGGGATTTTATCCGAAAATACAGGATTCACTAGAACGAGTAGAAACACAAGAAACACTGAATTAAATGTAGCGAGAATAAATTTTGGTTTCACCACAAACATGGGGCCACGATTAATGAACGAAAGGGTTGATGACCGACGACGTATCCGCGATGACGGCGATGGTCCAGCCAAACCCGAAGAGACGAGCATCATCCGTGCTCGATGCCAGTCTGACACAAACTGGTTTTCACTACTTAGCATGAACTCGATCTCCCTTGAACCGCCCCAGCATCCAAGCGACCCCAGGAGCCCGTCTCCTCCCAAACCACCCTTACCAAGCATCTACTGACTCCCCATCATCATTTTGCGTTCCACTATACCTAGCAAGCCTCACCCCCTACAAAAGCAGTTCCCACTGGAGCTTTACTGACAAAGTTTACCAACCCCTCTCTTCGTCCTCGAATGGTTTAACGCGCATGTGATTTCCACACGCATTACTCGAGCGATATCTTTCGCATAAAATTGGTACTATTTGCGAACTAATAGTCCATTAAATTGACAGAAATCTGCATTCACAGATGTTGAGATAATGATTTATTTATTATCATTTGGGAAATGATGAATAGTTTCACGTTTTGACATTTAAGTTCTAGTTAACATCTAAATGACGTCTATTTTAATACTATAACTATGCAAGTTCTTATTTAGTACTCCTTTGTACTATCTAGTCCTACTCTAATGCTCAAAAGATTGTCCTACACTATTATAGTCCTACAACTCTATAACTATACATGAAATTTCAAAACTCCTACTTAGATTCTCTCTAATCATAGAAAATTCTCTAAGATTAGAGAGAATCTAAGTTGAAGTTATGCAGATGTTAAGTAGAACTTAAATTTCGACTAGGTAACTTCGAGAAAGTTAATTTATTTATTAAGTCATCTAAAAATTTTAATTTTTGAAAAGAATTTTCAATTAAACTAGAATATAGAATACATTACAAAATAAATAACTATGGAGAGATTAGGGTGCCCAAAAAGACACGACTTTTAATTTTCTTTAATGCTACCTTAAAATCTTGTTGCTAATGGAAAAGAATTATATGCGTATGTATTTTTTTATTTTATTCATTTTTAAAGGTCGCGCTTGTCCATTTTTCATTAAAACAAATTTTTCCATCTTTGGGGAATGGTGTACGAGATGAATTCTCTGGGATCCTTTTGAATTTTGGAGAACCTATTAGCGTCACCTTTTAGGCAAATATACGGTACTACGTTGCCAATGACATACCTATATAGATTAGTCAAACTATCATGACAACACGCGTCACTAAAAAGATTCTATTGGAAAAAATAAAAAATTTTATACTTTTGATCTAAGGAAGGCTTAACTTTGTGCTTAGGTAACTTTTGTTGTAGCAGCTGGAATGCAAAGTCTCTTGTAGTGGTAGCTTCAGTATATTTTCAATTAAGTGTTTTGATTGGTATTATGGAATAACATGGGAGTACAAGATGATCCCCCCTGATTACCATGAATTTCGTCTCACCTCAAAGTGAATTATCTAGTATTACACTCAATAACATATATACTTTCCTTCCGGTTTGGACAACTTTCTAAAAAGTGGTGTGCCTTCTATAAAAATGTTTTAAGTCTATGGCGTATGATACCATATCATACGCTTATATGTTTTTATTATGAAAACTAACTTATTTAAAACTAAAAGTTGACATATAGACATCTATTTTATTAATTTTCTTGTTGTAAACAATACCACGTAACTATAAAGTAGGAAAACGAAACGTGATGAATTGTCAAAAGCTATAATAATCGTCTTATTCTTTCTTTCATTCTGTCCACACCTGAAGTTAGTCATAAAAAATCAACCGATTTCATTTTTCGATGGCTTCTTTGAAAGATCATTTAATTGCGCAACTTTTTCTTAGAGACACCTATACTTTATCTTTTATTGTTTAGTTTCTGTGTTAACTTTAAAAAATTTTGCCAACTGGCCGGTTTGCCCCACAGGCCCATTTTGAGAATTAATATTTGCTTTAAAAAAACGCTTTGCAAATTCATCAAAGTTTTTGGTGGTAAATATTCCTGAGAATATTTAGAAATATTACATGATTGCCTCAGAATTTTCTTAAGAACAAGTTCGTAAAAGTACTAAAAAAAAATTTTTTTGCTCCAGCGTTGCACAAACAAAAGTAAAAAATGTCAAATTGAAAAAATAAGGTATACTACACAGGTTGTTTTAAATTTCTAAACAACAATTTTGACAATTCCGCCATTTCGGAGATATTGACACCTGGCCGGTTTGCCCCACTCTCCCCTATTATTATTATTATTATTATTATTTATTTATTTGATGACATAAGTTCCTAGGGCATTTTTCTCCTCTAAATATCAATTTAGATAATTAATATCAATTTGAACCTTTTGAATAAGTTGAGGGAGCAATGACAATGGACCAGATAGGTAAATTTTGAAGTCATCAGCATATATTTATGGTATTTACAGAACTTAAGCTCAACACCAAGATCCGCAATAAACAAATTAAAGAGTAAAGATGACAATGAAGCCCCTTGAGGTACACCACATTTAAGTTCATCCTATTCAGAAGAATTTCCATTCCCATCCACAATTCTCTGTAGCCTATTATCCAGATAAGACTCAAACCAGTTGCAAATCGATCTAGACATGTCATGAGAAAAAAGCTTTCTTATCAATAAATTATGATTCATTGAAGGAAAAGCCTTAGAGAAATCAAAGAAAACATCAACTGTGACAAACTTCATGTCCAAAGCGAGCTCAAGATCGGTTGTAAATTTTAGTAACGCAGTACAAGTACTATACTTAGAACTAAAGCTAGAAGATTTCACAAAAGACAAGTTTTCAGAAAGTTTGCTGCAAGTTTGTTATAACGTTTCTGCAAGTTTTCTGTGAAAACTTGTAGCAAGTTTGCTCCGCAAACTTTACACAAGGCGGACATTTGCCAATTTCCCACAAATTTGCATGCAAATTTGCCAAGTTTGCAATGCAAACTTGCTGCAAACTTTCTGCAAAATGTTGTGCTATCTGGGTAGTGATCGGCAAACGCGCAGAAGTAGAGGGAATCGAGATAGGAGAATGCAAAAAGACAGTCAAGAATTCACGTGCTTGAAAGCTATTATCAGCTACTTTTTTTATTTGATATGAGATTCAGTTTTCTTAAGATGTGCCAAATTTTTTCAGATTTGACATTGTTCTTAATAATATTGTAATTATATCTATTGTGTGCATCCCTGATCTTAGTTTTAACTAAGTTGTGAATTTTTATCAAATTAATTTGATCACTATTTTTTTTGTTCTCTTAAACAATTTATGCAGTTTATTTCTTTCCTTAATTAATTGTCGTATTTCATCATTAATGACGTCTATATACGTACCTTAACGTTAATGTCTTGTTCAAAATATATTGCCGTCCAATCATAATCAGCCAAGTGCGCAAGAAATTCATCCTTAGGAATGCTATTTATATTTCGAATAAATTTAAATTGATGCGAATATGAATCAGATACTTTCATGTCAAATTTAATATTTATTAACCCTCTGCCTACGCTGACTTATCCCCACTCTAGCACTTTTGAATGTAATTCCTATGGTCCCCACCAGGCGACCGAATTGTCGTTTTTTGTCGATAACGGTTACTTGAGTAGGCAGAGGGTTAAATCATGACTAGATAAGAATGGTACGGATGTTGATCATGAGAGATAACCTTATCAACGTTTCAACAAAAATTGCATCAATTCTTGATTAAATGGTGAGTCGAGCTGTGTGGCACAATAAACAATCCCGAAGAATATACCATAGAGGTAAAAGAGTGGTAGAGTGGTAAAAGCAAAATTTGCCAGACGCGTCTGCATTTACCATATGAATCAATGAAAACATGTAGGTAAATGGATTAATGGGAATCTACTGTACCGACTTCACTGATTCTTATGGTAAAGTAGTCGTCTGTGATCTTAATTTCAAGATTTCAATGCTAAAAGAGGATCGTATTCAGTGGACGAAAAAAAGATTGAGTCAAACGTCCCAATACGGTTTTTTTTACGGTTTTTACACAAATCCGTATTGGCTCAGAGCTACTGCCAATTTCTAATGACTACACTCAATACTTTTTTGTTTACTGGGCTAGACAAACTCTCATTTTTTCTTACTGGCAGTCCATGAACAGAATCTCCAATTACGTTCGAAGGGATGTATGTTCTTGTATGTTAAGATTGCGTTCAAGTAAAGCAATCTTATTCTCGAGTGCTTCATTATCCAATTTTGCAAGTTGTAGTGCTCTCTTTTGATCTTCGACAATCAATTCAAGAGAGTTGATTTTACCCTTATTATTATCGATATATCCTCTCTAAGAGTTACAACCGTATTATTTAACTCCGCATTAAATTCTTTCTGCCTATTTGAAAATTCGGTGAACATTTTAAACATCTGAGTCTGCAAATTCTCAAAGGAATTGGATTGCCCCTGGTGTACTGCAACCCTGATAGCTTCAATGACGGCTGGCAAAACTTCATCTGTATTAGGTGTGGTAACAGGTTTTTTAGTAAACGTTTTTTAACTTCAACTCGTGATATTTTTGTTAATTTTTGGAATTTTTTGATAAAAGAAAAAAGAAATTAAAGCTTAGAATGTTCCAAAAATAAATAAAAAATTGTTCATTAATAAGTAAAGAATTTTTCTGGTTTTCTGAAATATATATCGACATTGTAACCCAATTAATAATATTCTACAATATTTTACATATCCGTTTAGAAGTGTAATCTCTACGTTTGTCTAAATTTCACAGAAAATTTAATTTTTTTTTTGGAAAAATCCAAATATTTCAAAAAATACGAAATGTATTGAAATTTCCTAAAAAATATATATTGCGATTTTAACCCATTTAATAATATTTTTTTGTCCTACCTGCACGGAAAGTATGTCATTTCGGGCACTTAGAGCGGGCGCAAAGTATCTCAAAGTATCGCAAAGTATTCCCACCCAGGGGCAGGGAAAGCGGGCGCAAAATATTTTGCGCCCGCTTCCCCTTCCTCCGAACTGGCGGAGAGGATTTTGCGCCCGCTTGTTAATTATTTGATTTTCTTCATTAAAATGCGATATTTTCGACTTTCTTTTTATGTTAACTATAAAAATGCAAACATTTTTAACTTGTTTTATTTTGTCTATAAAAATGTGCAATTTTTTTCGATTTTCTCTAAAAAAAATTATGACAAATTTGGTTTTGTTCCCATTTCGGTTGTAAAAATTGTCAATTTTAAATACATTGTTTTCTTATTTCTATATTAAAACTTCTATCATTATAGACTTCAATGAAAAATAATTATGCATTGAAAGTACAATTATGCGATTGGATGCGATCACAAATCACATTTATTTTGTATGAATTCTTAATAATTCACAAAATATCGAAGTTATGCTCAGCTTGAGAACATATTATGCGATTATGCGTAAAACTTGTATCAAACGTAAAATGGAGAAATAAATCTAATCTATTAGTTTATTATTTAGAAAAAAAAAACGTGAAAAATATAATACAAAAAATTATTTTTCTTTTTAATTAAATTATTTATTTATCACAAACTATAGATTAAATCATACACAATTAAATGAAAAACTTATCATCAATAAGCTTGGTTTCACAAATTTTCAAAATATTAAATTTTAAAAACGCACAAAAACATTCTTATAAAATTTTTTTTTTTCATCTTTACATTACCTAAAATGTAAACTAATTATTTTCCTTAAATTTCATCACAATAATGGATGTGTTAGAAAAAATATCATAATAATAATTTATTCAAAAGAATAACAAAAACAATTTTGTTTATAACCATTTCAAAAACAAAATCCATTCAATCACCTGGTGAATAGATTTTGTTTTTATAATAACGGAGCAGTGACAATAAGTTATTCTTTTTTTTCTTTTTTATTATTAAGAATATATTCAAAATTCAAGAGATTTCAATTGTATAAAAATTATAGTCACTGTTTCAATTGATCTATGCAAAATTAAAAAAAAAATTGAGTATAGTATTACAGTAAAACGCTTAAAAGGCACCTCTTCAAAGTCTTAAAAATAGGTAAAAATTACATTATAAAATAGTACTAGTTATATATATGTATAATATATACAATTAAAATAGAATATTAATTGACAGATACATGATTTTTCTTTTCTAAAAATTTGTGTGTAAAATATATATATATATATATATATAATTATTATGCATATGTATTACGTATTTGTTTATAAAATATTTTTCTCTTTCAAGTAACGAAACTATGGTTTTCTTTTTCTTTTGTATATATTTTTCTAGTTATATAGTTATATACAAGTCATAACACTATTTACAAATTGAAAGTGTGTGTTTCCTTGTTTGAATCTTAATATAATTTCGAGACGATTTTTTATTTAAATACATATGAATAAACATTAAAATTTAAAATTTAATTTAAAAACATTCATTCGAATTATACATTAAAATTTTTATCTTTACTTTAATATTTAAAATCAGATCAATTTTAGTCTTTTAGTTTAATATTAATTTGTTCCTTTAACCCTTTTTTTCACAATTATTTTTATGTTCAATACCAGAACAAATTGTTAAATAATCAAGATTATATTCCATTTACTTTAATTTAATTTCATCTTAAATTTGATTAGATTTTTATTTAATAATAGTCTGATATTGAACTTTTTTGGAAAAAAAAATTAACGATTTTTTTTTAAACATTAATACCCGTGATTAGACCATAGTTTCATGATTTATAAAAAACGTGTCGGTTGAAATTACAAAAATTTACGTACAGTTATAAGTAAGAACGTTTTTCTATCTTGTCATTCATATAAAAAAAATTATTTCTTTATGAAAGATAAGAAATACGTTCTTTAAGTTATATATGTAATTATAATTATGTAAAAACAATTTATCTAACGGTGAAAAACGATTCTTAAACAATAACAATATATACCACACGTTGTTTAAAATCACAATTATTGTCGACGATCAAGAAACATTCGTTTGTCCTTGTTTAATTTATTAGCGTTTTAAGGCGACGAAAAATCACTTATTTCTTTTTGATGACAAAATTCTAGGCAAACTTCAAAAAAAAAAAATGATCATCAAAAAATTGTTATTAAAAATGGAAAATATAATTGCCGTTTTTCAGAAAAAAGCACAGTCTTTTTTCCTTCAGTTTTCTTTTGTTTTGCTGTTCCTTAAAAAAAACTGAACGAAAAACATTCTGAACATAAATATCTTTTTTTATATAAAAAAAAATTTGTATAATTCAATTAAAATTGCCATGTTCCCGCTAGCTTTTGCAAAAAAGATTTAATTTCTTTTTATACTCATTTCAATCGAGTTTTTATGACAATAAAATTCTTAAAACACAATATGTAAAATTATTGAACGTTGTTCAATTTTTGCCTTTTTGTGGTACCGAATTTTATTTCTAGTCTCTTTTGCTATCATGATTTTTTAGATAAAAAAAAAGTACGTCACAACACCAGCAAAACGATACTTGTGAACTCGATAAATTTGATAAATAACGCCATCGACTTGAAATCGTAATATTGTAAAGTACATCACATGTGAATCGTTGCGACAGTGTAACGTGCTTCGCCTCTTCTCCAACTCCACTGACTTGGTCGATACTAAAAAATAATATACAGGGTAAATTCAGTTCAAACATCTGAATAAAAATTACATAAGAAATCTAGTTTTTTTGAAATATGTTTAAAGTTAAATAAATTGAATTGCATTCAAGAATTTTATATATTAATTACAGAGTTAAAAAAATAATAAATAATCTATTATTAATAATCGTTGTATTCCGGTAATCTGTTCGCAATTAAAGTTAGTTGCTACTTGCTTTTTTAGTTTCCTAATTTTTTAAAGTAATTTTTCTTCTTAAATGATTAAAATTTTTAAATTAATGTACTGAAAATCATTGAATTTAATTATTTTAAATACAATTTTAATTGAATTCCAAGGACAATGAAATTATTTTTTAAATGCTTCGTAAGAATCGAATTATATCAATAAATAGAAAAAATTTTACAGAAAATTAAATTATTAAAAAAAGTTTTAATAAAATTTTATTAAAGAATTTAATTATTTTCAGAAACAATTAAATTATCGATGTACACGGAAAAAATAAATTTAGCCGATTTTACAAATTTAATTAATTTTTGTTTAATAAATATTTAAATGCTTTTTTATATTATTTTTATTAATATTATTTGTTCACCAAGAATTAAAATTTCAAAATTTACTGACATTAAAATTACTTTCCCTGACAAAATTTTTTTTACTGAAAAATATGAATGTTTACGAGAAATGAGTAAATTATTTAAAAAAGTTTTAATAAAATTTTGTTAAAAAATTTAATTATTTTTAGAAACAATTAAAATTGTCGATGTACTGAAAATTATTGAATTCGTGTGAAGTATTTAGAAAAAAAAATTTGAAAATAATTGAATTCATCTCAAGAATGTTATCAACATTTTTATCAATAATTGAATTCTTTCGAGAAAATGCAATTAAAATTATTGTATTCAAAATAATTTAATTCTTGGCAAGATTTTTATTCAAATTCTTGAAAAATAATTGAATTGTTCTGAAAAATTTATTTCAATTTCCTTGAAAATAATGGAGTTTTTTAAATCATTTTTACTGAAAATTTTGAGACTAATTGAATTTTACGAAGATTTTCTTTTAAGTTATTAAAATAATCGTGTTTATTATTAATTGTAATTAACCATTTTCCTATTAAATTTTATTAAAATTATTCATAGAAAACTAAATTCTTTTAAACAATTGTATTAGAGTTATTCTAAATAATCACATTTTTTTTAATTTCATTAAATTTCGTCAAAAATAATTTATTTTTAAAAGTAATTTTAATTGAAAATTTTGAAAATAATAGAAATTTACAAAGAATTTTGAAACATTTTATTATTTTTGAAAATATTTTAATTCTTACGTAAAATTTTCTTATTTATAAAAATAATTTAATTCTTGCGGAGGATTGTACAATTCATAAAAATAATTAAATTGTTTCGAAGGATTTTATCTGAATTTTTGAAAATATTTGAAGGAATTTTACTAAATATTTTGAAAATAATAATTTTTTAAAAAAATGTTGATCAAAATTGTTGAAAATAATTGAATTTATATTAAAATTCTTGAAAATAATCGAATTTTTTTAAAAAAATTATATCTTGAATATATTTGAATTTTTTCCAAGAAATTTTATCACTAAAACTGTATTGAAAATAATTAAATTTCTCAGAAGAATTTTATTATTTACAAGAATGATTGAATTTTTGCAAAGAATTTTACAATTTATAAAAATAATTTAATTGTTTCGAAGAATTTTTATTAACTCTCTTGAAAATAATTGAATTTAAATAATTTTTTTAAATATAATTGTATTCTTTAAAAAAATGTAATTAAAATTGTATTGAAAATAATTGAATTCCTCCGAAAATTTTTATTATTTATGAAAATAATTGAATTCCTTTGAAGAATTTGATCAGGATTTATGAAAATATTTTAATCTTGCGAAGAATTTTCTTATTTATGAAAATAATGAATTTCTTGCGTAAGATTTTACAATTCATAAAAATAATTAAATTGTTTCGAAAGATTTTATCTGAATTTTCGAAAATATTTGTATTTTTTGAAGGAATTTTACTAAATATTTTGAAAATAATGAATTTTTAAAAATAATTGAATTTATATTAAAATTCTTAAAAATAATCGAGTTTAATTAATAATTTTAATAATAATTGTATTCTTTCGAGAAATTTTATTAAAATTTTTGAATAATAATAATAATAAACAAGAATATTTAATACTATGTACTTAATAAGTGAATTCTTTAAATTTCAATCTGTAATCATTCAAAAGTAGATATTTATTCCTGAAAATATGAAATTTTTTAATTTACAAAATAATAAGAAATAGAATAGATATCAGAATGGAATTGCATTCAAGAATTTTATACATTAATTACAGAGTTAAAAAAATGATAAAAATAATAAATTTATTAACTGTATAAAACAGATAATATAATAAATAATAAATTTTTTAACTTACTAATTTAAATAATCAAACAATCATTTATTTATGATAGAAAAAAAACTCACCCGAATGAGTATTTGTCCCGAAGCACTGTGAGGATTACGATATGCGTACACAGCCCAACCAGCTAAACCAGCAACAAGAGAAATAATCACCAGGATTCCGATGATGCCAGAAACGCTCATATTCATGTTTTCGCGAGCTGCAGTAAAAAATTTTTAATATTATTAAAGAAAAATCGTATTTATAATTATTTACTAAAGAACCTTATCTAATAATAATTTTGTTATTATTTACCTGAGTAGATAATATTGTAAAGTTAAAATTTTTAATTTTGATAATAATGTAAATTTTTTAGTAAACTATTTAAAAAGTTTTACCGTGCTCCAAGGAACCAGCAGCTGGACTAGAATGTTGACTAGGTTTCACGCTGGCCGACAATACTTCTTCCCTGGCGATATGTTCATCGTGTCCTTGTGTATCAATATGATCCTTATAGGAAGTAGTTTTTGCTGAACAACCAGCTAATTCTTTAATACTCTTCTTGTCGCAACCCTTCAACAACCAATCTTGTTTTGATCGCGAAACTCCCGTGCTGCATTGTTGCAATTCAGGACACCATTTACAATTGAATTCTGGCACTTTTGTGAGGCAATCTTTACAATTCTCCATTTGTAGACAAGTTGGTAATGCCGTTAAATAAATAACAGTGAAATTTTTAATATCCTGACGATTAAAGTGAACTCGATGATATTCATAGATTGTCTTCTTGCGGTTAACTGAAAACAAAAATAATTCAATAGTTTTGTTATTGTCAAAAAAAATTACTACCATTTTTCATAAATTAGAAAGATATGGAAGAAAAAAACATAAAAATCAAAGAAAAATAGATGTTAAGAATAAATTTTAAATAAAAATAATAATAATCTTATAATTATACAATTGATAGTGAAAATTATTTTTGTAACTGGAAATCTGCCAATTTAGTCGAGTTTGTTCTTTCTTGAACATTATAAGTCGAAATCAATTTCTAAATTTAGTCCATTTGATTAAGTCTAGTTTTCACAATATTGTTCTAATTAACTAAAATATTTTTAGAATAATTATTTTTTAAATTTAATTATTTAAATTCTTTTAATTTAAAAAAAACTATGATTATATTTCAAAACAATTTTTAAAAGTAATAAAATTAAATGCTTTCAAATATAAAATTTATTTCAAAGAAATTAATAAAATTAAATCAATTTTTAAAATTATTTTCGAGAATTCAACTGTTTTTAAAAAAATTTAATTACGATTTTTAAAGAACTTCATTTTTTCAGAAATTTCTAATTAAATTTTTCAAATTCAACTTTTCCAGGTTTTCCTAATTAAAAAACGGAATTTTTCCAGGTTTTTAAAACTACATTTATATTTTACAAAATTAAATAACTCTAATAAATGTTTTTAACTCCGAGTCTTCGACTCGGAGCAATCGATATCTTCATGTTTTAAGATAATTAAAAATGACCGACTGATAAAATCATTATTTTATATTATAAAAATATTGTTACTGTTATTTATTCAAAATTACTTTCATCACTTCAATTCAGTTATTGTTTTCCAGAATTTTTAACTAAAATTCTTCTTTAAATTTATTAGTTTTAATCATTTTTGAAAAATTTATTTAAAAATTTTCAAATCCTTTTGTTTACAATTCAATTTTACGAAATTTCTTCGATTATTCAAAAATTCTTCAATTATATATTAGAAAATAGAAACTTCAAATAAATTTAAAAAAATTCAATTAAACTTTTTTAAAAAAATTAAATCTAACACAATTTTTAGTTAAAAGTATGAAAAATTCAAACATTCAAAGATTATAATTTGAAATTATTTCAAAGTTAAATTATTTCTAAAAACTCCGCTACAATACTTTCTCTCTAAATTTGAATTAGTAAAAATGTTTACTAATTGGAATTATTCACTGACTTTTTGCTTTTGAATTAGTAAATTTTACTATTAAATTAGTAGAAACGACTATTTATTAGTAAAATCTGCTAATTCAAAAGCAAAAATTCAGTCACTAATTCAAATTTGAAAACATTTTTACTAATTCAAATTTAGAGTTTAATATTCAATTATTATTTAAAATTTTAACTGAAATTCATATTTAAATAAATTTTTATTAGAAAATTCTACGAAAATTCAATTATTTAAATACAAATAAAATGCAAATAAATAATTTATTGAAGAATTGAATGTGTTTTAAAATTGAACTCTCATAAAGAATTTTATCAACAAATTTTTAAATAGGTAATTAAAAATCTTTTGACGAATAATTTTAATTTTCGAAAAAATTAGATTCAAAATTGTTTCAAAAATAATTGAATCTCTGTAAAAAATTTGATTGAATTGAGAAAAGTTTTTGAAAATAATTGAAATTTTACCAAGAATTTTATTAAAATTAAAATTTATTTTTGAAAATAATTGAATTTTGAAGAAAAATTTTATTATTTAAAAAGATAATTGAAATTTTGAAGAGAATTTTTTTAAACTTTTGACCATAATTGAATTTCTACGAAGAATTTGATTAAAATTTCTTTTTAAATAATTGAATTCTTTTGTGAAATTTTATTGAAATTATAGATATTAAAAATAACTGAATTGAATTTTAACAAATTTTTGAAATTCAATAATTAAATTTTTACGAAGAATTTTATGAAATTATTTTGAAAAAAATTGAATATTGTCACAAAGAATTTCATTAAATGGAAAATAATTTAATTCTTTGGAGAAATTTAATTAAAAATGTATTGAAAATAATAATTAAATTCTAATAAATAAATTGTAGCAAATGTTTTTAAAATAATTGAATTTCTGTGATAAATTTTAATAAAATTTTTAAGAATAATTTCATTTTTCGAGAAATTTAATGAAAATTGTATTAAAAATAATTGAAATTCAGTCACGAATTTTATTAACATTTTTGAAAATAATTGAATTTCGAAGAAAAATTTTAATCATTTACAAAGACAATTGAAATTTTGACGAGAATTTTTGTAAATTTTTAAACATAATTGGATTTCTGCGAAGAATTTTATTAAAATTATTTTGAAAAATATTGAATTGTTAGGCAAAGAAAGAATTTCATTAAAATTTTTGAAAATAATTTTATTCTTTAAAGAAAATTAAGATTAAAATTGTATTGAAAATAATTGAATCTCTGTAAAAAATTTGATTGAATTGAGAAAAATTTTTGAAAATAATTAAAATTTTCCCAAGAATTTTATTAAAATTAAAATTTATTTTTCAAAATAATTGAATTCTTGAGACGAATTTTATTAAAATTTCTTTTTAAACAATTGAATTCTTTTGTGAAATTTTATTGAAATAGTAGATATTGAAAATAATTGAATTTCGATAAATAATTATTGAAATTCATTAAATTTCTACGTAGAATTTTATTAAAATTATTTTTAAAAAAAAATTTAATTGTTAAAAAGAATTTCATTAAAATTTTTGAAAATAATTTAATTCTTTCAAGATATTAAAAATTAGACTTCAAGAATAAGCAGAATTAGAAAACAATAATTTTCCGCAGGATTCTGATCAAAATTCCCTGACTTTTCCAGGGTTTTTTCAAGGTTTATAAAATTCCCTGACATTTCCAGGTTTTCAAATTTTGAACTTTTTTACTTTTGAAAAATTTTGATTTTCTTTTACAATTTATTACTTTTTTAAAAATTGGAAATGCGAAAAGAAAATTTAAAAATGATTTTTTTACTTTACAAATATGTGAAATTTTCTTTTGTCTACATCATTAAATATAGATTTTTGGTACAATGTCAATTTAGAACTTACAGAATACGGTTCTGTCCATAATGTAGGCATCACTCAATCCAACCTTCACTGGATGATTAAAGTCTTCGATATTTTCGACAACAAGTGGAATTGCAGTATAAACGAATACAATATCACCATTTAGATGCAAAGTCACTTGGAATGTGAAAGCCCCATCCTCTGGCTTATCGTGAAGTACAACATTTTCCCACTCAACAGTAAATGATGTTGCTGAAATGCATATTTTCCATTATTTTTTCAAAATTCATAAATATAAAAATGAATAAAAATATTTCTAAAAAAAACTGAATAATTAGTAAAAACTAAGTAATTTAATTATAATAAATAATTTAATTTAATGATTTAATAAAATTATTATAGTATAATTACTAAAGTAATAATTAAATTAATAATTTCATTTCATGAAGAGAAGAGGGAAAAATGTTATTTCCCCTTTTTGCCTTCTTTTCAACTTTCACTCGACACCTAATAATAAAATCTATAAATAGTTATCAGTAAATTCTATAACAAATTCAGAAACCAGAACAAAAGACAATAAAAAAAGAATTGAGATTGGTTGGGGGAGATAAATAAGATTACGATAGATCTGATAAGTAGATATGAATAAATTTACATTCTTTATATTGCAATGAAATTGTTTTAAATTGTCTTCTTTTTCATATTGTTTTCTTGAAAATAAATTATCGTAAATTTCTAAAATTAAACTTTACTTTCTAGTTTCTACATCAGTGCAAAGTATTTATGTACATATATTAATATCAAAATTATTTATTAAAAACAAAGTTCAGTTTTTAATTTTCAAGGGCGAATAAAGAGGCTCAAGATGAAGAATTACTTACAATTGTCTGCGTATTTAACGAAACTACGATTGGACAATTGCAAGTCAAAGTTCGCCATTAACGGTGCAATGTACTGTGTTGCAGCAAGCCAACTGTGTACGTATTCTCCAGTATATAAAAATCCACCTGTGGCAATTGTGATATTACGTACTTTATGTCCATAAAATGGAAAATCAAATTGTAGTTTTATTGTCTGCAAGAGAAATCAAATGAGAAATTAAAAAAATATTCACCTAAATTTGTCTTAATAATAATATACGAAATTCTTTGTATATTTTTCAATAGTTGACGAAAAAATAAAAAAATAATATTAAAATTTTTTCTAACAAATTTGAACAATGTGTGAACAAAAAAATTTGAACAAAAAAACAAATTCTTACAAAGTAAATATTCTTTCCCCTTGGTAAGGGTTTAAAAAATGTTTATCGTATTTAGAAATAATTGGGATAAAAAAAGAATAAAAAATGGACAAACCGCTGCTTTCCTGTGACTCTCGCTCAGAACCTCATTGACTTGAAGATTCGGATGTACAGCCATATTCACCCAATATTTATCCCAGGCAGCTTTATCAACCATAAATGTACTATTATAATATTGATGTGTGTCATTAAAGGTTTTTGTTATGTTATTCTGCAGCAGAGTTGAATTTGATACTTCAGAAAGAGTGTCTGGAATGTCGCCAATTTCAGTCTCAGAATTCTCATTGGTAAGTTTAACATCGTGTGTAATGTTAGTCCACCTTGTTTGATTCGCCCAAACAACTGGCTTTGACTGAAAAATAAATTAATATTAAATTTCCTAAAGAAAAATTAATCTATTTAAAAATTTTTAAAGTCTTTAATTCAATTTTGCAAAGTTTTGTAATCAACAATATTTAAAATTAAATCTTCAATAAAAATTTTTTATATATATTTTAATTAATTAAACACAAGCCTCGGATCGACTTTGAGACACAAAGTAACTTTAGTCTCGATTAAAAATTTTAAAAAATTGAAAAAGTCGTTTATTTAATTCAGTTATTGGAAAAAATTTTATTTTCTATTTTCCACGGAAAATAAAATTTTTTGAAAATCAATTCAATAATTTCTAAAAATTACAACTACAATCTCTTTCAAAATTCAATTATTTGCTACAATTCTTAACTAAACTTCATCTCTAAATAAATTATATTTTTAATAATTTTCCGAAAGTTCTGCATTAAAATTTTTGAGAATTCGATTATTTTCAAATTTTCAATATTATTATTTATTACAGAAGTAGCAAATGATACGTGCGCGGAACGCGGTATTCCCTTTCTTATTATTTTGTAAATTAAAAAATTTTATATTTTCAAGAATAAACATCAATTTTTGAATGATTACAGATTTAAAATTTAAAGAATTCACTTATTAAGTACATAATATTTAATATTCTTGTTTATTATTATTATTCAAAAATTTTTATAAAATTTCTCGAAAGAATATACAATTATTATTAAAAATATTAATTAAACTCGATTATTTTCAAGAATTTTAATATAAATTCAATTATTTTGATTGAAAGTTTCAACAATTTTGATGAAATTATTTTTCAAAATTCATCATTTTCAAAATTTTTAATAAAATTACTTAAAAAAAATTCAATTTTTCCAAAAATTCAGATAAAATTCTTGAATAGAATTCAATTATTTTCATAAATAATAAAATGTTACGGAGGAATTCAATTATTTTCAATAGAATTTTAATTACATTTTTTGAAAGAATACAATTATATTTAAAAATATTATTTAAAATCAATTATTTTCAACAATTCTGATAAAAAAATCTTCGAAACAAATTCAATTATTTTCAATACAATTTTAATAAAATTTCTCGAGAGAATACAAAATTATTTTTCAAAATATTATTAAAATTCAACTATTTTCAAGAGATTTAATAAAAATTCAATTATTTTCAACAATTCTGATAAAAAATTCTTCGAAACAATTCAATTATTTTTGTAAGTAATAAAATTCTTCTGAGAAATTCAATTATTTTCAATACAATTTTAATTGAATTTCTCGACAGAATAAAATTATTTTTAAAAATATTATTGAAATTCAATTATTTTGAAGAGATTTAATAAAAATTCCATTATTTTCAACAATTCTGATAAAATTCTTCAAAACGCTCCTTAATTTTAATTAAAAAATTCGATTATTTTCAAGAATTTTAATATAAATTCAATTATTTTCAACAATTTTGATGAACATTTTTTTAAAAAATTATTATTTTCAAAATATTTAGTAAAATTCCTTCAAAACTTCAGATAAAATCCTTTGAAACAATTCAATTATTTTTATGAATTGTAAAATCCTCCTCAAGAATTTAATTATTTTCATAAATATGAAAATTCTTCGCAAGAGTTAAAATATTTTCATAAATAAGAAAATTCTTTGCAAGAATTAAAATATTTTCATAAATAAGGAAATTCTTCGCAAGAATTAAAATATTTTCATAAATAATAAAATTCTATAAAAGAATTCAATTATTTTCATAAATAATAAAATTCTTTTGAGAAATTTAATTATTTTCATTATAATTTTAATAAAATTTCTCGACAGAATACAATTATTTCTAAAAACATTATTTAAATTCAATTATTTTTAAGAGATTAACAAAAATTTAATTATTTTCAACAATTTTGATGAACATTTTTTTAAAAAATTATTATTTTCAAAATATTTAGTAAAATTCCTTCAAAAATTCAGATAAAATCCTTCGAAACAATTCAATTATTTTTATGAATTGTAAAATCCTCCTCAAGAATTTAATTATTTTCATAAATAAGAAAATTCTTCGCAAGAATTAAAATATTTTTATAAATAAGAAAATTCTATAAAGGAATTCAATTATTTTCATTAATAATAAAATGTTTCAGAAGAATTCAATTATTTTCAATACAATTTTAATAAAATTTCGCGAAGGAATACAATTATTTTTAAAAATATTATTTAAATTCAATTATTTTCTGATAAAATTCTTCGAAACAATTCAATTACTTTTATAATTTGTAAAATTCTTGGCAAGAATTCAATTATTTTTGTAAATAATAAAATGCTTATGAGAAATTCAATTATTTTCAATACAGTTTTAAACAAATTTTTTGGAGAAAATTCAATTATATTCAAGATAATTTTAATAAAATTTCTCTAACAGGTTCAATTATTTTTAAAAATTATAATAAAATTTTTCGAAACAATTCAATTGTTCTCAAAAGTTTTTAATAAAATTCTTTGTAAATTTCTATTATTTTGAAAAATTAAATTATTTTTACGAAATTTAATGAAATTTAAAAAGAAAAATGTAATTATTTAGAATAACTCTAATACAATTGTTTAAAAGAATTTAGTTTTCCATGAATAATTTTAATATAATTTAATAGGAAAATTGTTAATTACAATTAATAATAAACACGATTATTTTAATAACTGAAAAGAAAATCTTCATAAAATTCAATTAGTTTCAAAGTTTTCAGTAAAAATGATTTAAAAAACTCCATTATTTTCAAGGAGAAATTGAAATAAATTCTTCGGAACAATTCAATTATTTTTCAAGAATTTGAATAAAAATCTTGCCAAGAATTAAATTATTTTGAATACAATAATTTTTTATTACATTTTCTCTAAAGAATTCAATTATTGAAAAAAATGTTGATAACATTCTTGAGATGAATTCAATTATTTTCAAATTTTTCTATAAATACTTCATACGAATTCAATAATTTTCAGTACATCGACAATTTAATTGTTTCTGAAAATATCTGAATTCTTTAATAAAATTTAATTTAATTTTAATTTAATTTAATTTAATTTAATTTTAATTTAATTTAAATAAAATTTAATTTAATTCCTGTGAAAAATTTCCTATTGAATATAATTTAATTCTTACGTAGAATTTAAAAAATAATTTAATTCTCCCTGGAATTCAATTCAAATTGTATTTAAAATAATTGAATTCAATATGATTTTCAGAACATCAATTTAAAAATTTTAATCATTTTGAGAAGAAAAATTAATTCAAAAAATTAGGAAACTAAAAAAGCAAATAGCAACTAAGTTCAAACTGCGAACAGATTACCGGAATACAACGATTATTAATATAGAAGAAGATAAATTCTTTGCAAATTATTTTACTAATCGAAAACAAAGTTCGAAAGGAGAATTAAATCAAACTGATATTAAAATAAGTTTAGGAGCACGTGGGGCTGGGGGGAAACATACCAAATGTGTAGTGGAAGTTTCGACAGGTAATGTAGTAGCTGTTGTGTAATTATTTTTCATCATATGAACATCGGATCGACTTCGATAAAGCGCCTTTTTCGATGGCACTGGACTTTCCGTGGTGACAGTTTCCGTTGAATAGGAAACATTTGCCGAAGTATTAGTATTTATGTTAACAACCGATTGTTGTGGTGCTGTCGTGGTTTGCAATTTTGGTTGTTGTTGTTGCTGCATATCCTGAACTTCGCTAAGTTCATGTTGAGGCTTCGCCGTTCCTTTCGGTGCTGGCTCAAGAACAGATCGCCTATATCGCTCCTGTAAATTTTCCTCAAACGAAGAAAATTCTATTCTGTCGTCCAGAAAACTGTGTGTCCTCGATATATCATTCTTATAGTATGCCAAATCTGTAAAATCGAAAAAAATTCTCATTAAAAAATTTATATTTTAATAAAATTAAAAATTCTCTTTTTTCAAAATCTGATTCTAAAATTAGAAGATAGAAGAAAAATCGAAACTTTAAATTTTAACAAATTGAATAATTAGCTAATTTTCTTTAAATTCAAAAAGAGAAGCTAAAAGTGTTTTTGGAGCAACGATTTGGCTATCGTGAAAGACTAAATTTATTCACACACACACACACACACATCTGATGTAAGCCTTTTTTTCCCCCTGGCTTATAAGAAGATTAAAATGGAATATTTATTTCGTCAAATTAATAAGTATTATTCAAATTTTTTCTTCCCTTGTGAATGTGAATATATATATTTTTCAGAACCGAAAATAGCAATAAACGCGTACATGATGTCAGAATGTGACGTTTTCGCATGTGTCAACGTCGACGTTCTCAACTTCTTGTTTCTATATTGAGAGGGCAATGTCCTTGTGCAGAATTATAATCCATCCACAAATTTAGTCTCATCAATTCTTTAATTTTTGCATCAAAATTCATGCACTCAACAACTCAACTCATATATCTATATTGTCAATTGAAATAAATTTCCACCGAAACATCACTTTTAAAATTATTCTCATTTATCAAAAAAAAAAAAAAAAATTATAAAAACTAACAAATAATAAGAGACAAAGAGAATAGAAATAAATAATAATAGAAAAATACAATAAAAAATAATTAACGATAGAAATAAATATTAAAATAGAGAGAGAGACAATAAAAAACAAGAAAATATTTCCGCCATAAAATGTCGCACTGTGAGGACAATATTTTCTCAAATTTTTCCTCCTTTTGAACTGATGAATAAAATACTTGAATATTTATGCGGGATGATGATGATGATGATGAATAGCAAGGCTGGTTTCTTTCATAAAAAAAAAGAATTCTGATACTCGATACTTTATTGAAGGGGTCGTAGGCCAATTTTCATCTTTCAAATCCCCTTTTGCTTTATACTAAACTGGACGCAGTTTAATTTAATTAGTTTAAAATTTAATATATTTTTCTTGAAATGATATTCAGAATCTGACACTGCATTTTAGTTCAAGGGCAGACGGGATATTTAAATACATAAATAGAATCGCATAAATATAAACCATGAATAAGACTTCTACGCTAAAGATTCTGTTTCCCATCAAATTTTACACTTTTATTATTGAATCTTATTATATAAAAAAAGCACTAAAATTTTTAATGCCAATATACCAAGAAATGACGTAAATTTTATTCCCTAATCAAGATGAATGTAGAATGACGGGATAAATTTAATTATTAATTTTAGTTTTGAGAATTAGTTTTCAAATTTTAATTTTGCAGATCAGAAAAATTTCCTCAGCCATACGATATCGCTCTTTTTAAATTCCCTGACTTTTCCAAGTTTTCCAGGTTAAAAAACGGAATTTTTCCAGGTTTTTAAAACGAAAATTTCTTCGAAAACATCAATAACTTCATTTTAAAATAAATATTTAATTTTCTTTTTTTATAGATAAATTAAGATAATTCATAAATTTGAAATTCAATAACAAGAATATTATTATAAAACTTGCTACTTTGTTACTGTAACTTCTTCAGAAAATATTTTCAACATAACGATTATTCATTTCTAGAATTTTCAACTAAAATTCTTCTGTTAGTCAATTTTTTTAAATAATTTTTGAAAAAGTTCTTTGTGAATTTTCAAATTTTTCTCTTTACAATTTAAATTTACGAAATATCGATTATTGTGACATTCTTCAATTAAATATAACAGAAATTAAAAACTTGAAATAATTAAAAAAAGATCCATTAAACTATTTGAGAAAAATTAATTATACAGAATTGTTAGTTAAAAGTATGAAAAGTTTAAATTTTCAAAGATTTTAATTTGAAATTCATTTTTAAATCAATATTTATTAGAAAATACTACGCGAATTCAATTATTTAATAATAATAAATAAATATTTTATTAAACAATTGAATGTTTCTTAAAATTGAATTTTCATAAAGAATTTTATCAACAAATTTTTAAATAGGTTATTAAAAATCTTTTGACGAATAATTTTAATTTTCGAGAAATTAGATTCAAAATTGTTTCAAAAATAATTGAATCTCTGTAAAAAATTTGATTGAATTGAGAAAAGTTTTTGAAAATAATTGAAATTTTACCAAGAATTTTATTAAAATTAAAAATTATTTTTGAAAATAATTGAATTTTGAAAAAAAAATTTATTATTTGTAAAGATAATTAAAATTTTGAAGAGAATTTTTTTTAAACTTTTGACCACAATTGAATTTCTGCGAAGAATTTTATTACTTTTGAAAATAATTGAATTCTTGAGACGAATTTTATTAAAATTTTTTAAAATAATTGAATTTCGGAGAAAAATTTTATTATTTATAAAGATAATTGAAATTTTATTGAAATAATACCTAAATATTGAAAATAATTGAATTTTGACAAATTTTTGAAATTAATTTTTTTACGAAGAACTTTATTAAAATTATTTTGAAAAAAATTGAATTGTCACAAAGAATTTCATTAAAATTTTTGAAAATAATTTAATTCTATGAAGAAATTTAATTAAAAATGTATTGAAAATAATAATTAAATTCTAATAAATAAATTGTATCAAAGGTTTTTAAAATAATTGAATTTCTTTGACAAATTTAAATAAAATTTTAAGAATAATTTCATTTTTCGAGAATTTTGATGAAAATTGTATTAAAAATAATTTAAATTCAGCCACGAATTTTATTAAATTTTTTTAAAATAATTGAAATTTTGACGTGAATTTTTGTAAATTTTTGGAACATAATTGAATTCTTGAGACGAATTTTATTAAAATTTCTTTTTAAATAATTGAATTCTTTTGTGAAATTTTATTGAAATAATAGATATTGAAAATAATTGAATTTTGACAAATTTTTTATATTAATTAAATTTTTACGAAGAATTTTATTAAAATTATTTTGAAAAAAATTGAATTTTTACAAAGAATTTCATTAAAATTTTGAAAAATAATTTAATTCTTGCAAGAAATTGAATTAAAATTTTTTTTAAAAGAATACCTAAATTCTAATAAATAAATTGTAGCAAAGGTTTTTAAAATAATTGAATTTCTTTGATAAATTTTAATAAAATTTTTTAAAAAAATTTCATTTTTCGAGAAATTTGATGAAAATTGTATTAAAAATAATTGAAATTCAGCCACGATTTTTATTACAATTTTAAAAAATAATTGAATTTCGGAAAATAATTTTAATTATTTATAAAGATAATTGAAATTTTGACGAGAATTTTTGTAAATTTTTGGAACATAATTGGATTTCTGCGGAGAATTTTATTAAAATTAGTTTGAAAAAAAATGAATTGTTACACAAAGAATTTCATTAAAATTTTTGAAAACAATTTTATTCTTTAAAGAAATTTAATTAAAAATGTATTGAAAATAATACTTAAATTCTAATAAATAAATTGTAGCAAAGGTTATTAAAATAATTAAATTTCTTTCATAAATTTTAATAAAATTTTTAAGAATAATAACTGTTTTCGAGCAATTCCATTAAAATGGTATTAAAAATAATTGAAATTCAGCATTGAGTTTTATTATTTAAGAAAATAATTGAATCCCTTTAAAAAATGTTATTATTCATGAAAATAATAATTGAATAATATATGAAAATAATTTGTAAATAATTAAATTCCTGTAAAATTTTTATTATTTATCAAAACAATTAAATGTAGAAGTTTATTAAAATTTTTTTTAACCAATTGTTTTCTTTTAGAAATTTTTATTAAAGTAGTAGATATTAAAAATCATTGAATTGAGGAAAGTTTTTGAAAATAATTAAAATTTTACCAAGAATTTTATTAAAATTTTGAAAATAATTTAATTTCTGAGAAGAATTTTACTAATTTTGAAAATAATTGAATTTTTGCAATCATTTGTAATTGCTTCAAAATTCAATTTGTTTTGGTGTTTTTAACTAAAATTCTTCTATAAATTTATTATTTTTAATAATCAATTAAATATATATTAAAAAATTTAACTAATTTCAGAAGAAGTTTAGTTTTTAAAATTTTTTTTTAAATCTAAGTTTTCTTATATTACTAATTAAATTCATTTAAATTAAAATTGAAGTTTTACAAAATTTTAAATCAAAATATTATGAAGTTCATTTACTAATGAAAATTCTAAACGAAATTCTTTTAAAATTGAATTAATTTTGAAATATTTAAGTAAAATTAGATTTCAAGAATAAGCACAATTAGAAAACAATAATTTTCCAGGATTTCGATCAAAATTTCCTGACTTTTTCAGGTTTTTTCAAGGTTTATAAAATTCCCTGACATTTCCAGGTTTTTCAAGTTTCCAGATTGCGTACAAACCCAGCAACCCCAGAAGATAGGGATCAATTTTACATATATTGTAAAAATACTTGTCTGGATTAAATACTTTCAATCTTGCGGTTCTTGTTCTCTCCGCAACTATCGAATTCAAGCGGTTTGCTTTAAACACTAGAATGTCAAGAAAGAATGATTTTTCCCAAGTATTAAGACACAGTAACCGCCTTTCAATTTAATTCCTATGTATAGGAAACTAACATTCACCGTTATCGAAAAGATTACAAATTTTCAATCCAATTTTCAATTGTCCCTGAAAAAAAAGAAAAATTATTGAAAAACTTAAATCATAAAAATTAAAAATACAATTTAAAAGTATATTTGAGTAGTTCTCAAAAATTCAAATTTGTAATTTTTAGTAATTTTTTTCGTCACATTATGTGTTACGTAAAAAAAGAATATTGAAACAAAAGGGAAATAGTAATTAACGTTTACAAGGGAATTAGATAAAAGCCCAGTTGGTAATTATGCAAACAATGCAAACCCATACTTATTTCCTGGAACGTGAATACGTTAACTGGAAAATATTGCGCATTTATTATTATATATATATATATTTCTCATTGACA